AGGTCCGGTCTGTATGTACCACGACAAATTGCCTCCTCACCAACACCCACTCCCAGTGAGTGCTACAGTGGGGATTTTCGGCAGGGGTACCTGTACACCACCAGCTTATCTCCTATTTCTTACCAGCATTTAGACATGCACAGGATGTCATCACCAACTGCGCCATATTTGAGTCAAGAGCAAAGAGCTTACTCAAATCCCAACATACCAACCAAGTTTTTTTATACAGAAGATGCAGTTCGGTATCCAGTCCAACCCTTTTCTAGACCTTACTTTCAGGATGATCGGTCCAGTTTAACCAGTCTTGGTAGTACAACAACAAGTCAGTATGATCCAAGGACTCGGTGGGTACACACACTTCCTGTGAGATCATATTACACGGACCACCAAACCAACAGAGAGCCATCACACTCTGTATATAACCGGCCATTTTCCACAACTGAGGCTGGCTCATATTTTTCTCAAGCCCCATTCTCCAGAGCTTACTGCGGAGAAGATGGTCGGTTCAGCCCATACCACATGAATGGCTCAAGATTATTTTATTCCAAATCATTCAACTCTCCTGAGGAACAGTACATTCCAATGAGACCATATCACACAGAAGGTCGTCGACGCCCTCGATTGTCTCAAGCCTTTTCAGATGACTGGTATCGCTCAAGCATATCTGGTTTCTCTAACCAGTCCTCTCTAACCACACCACCAAGACTAAGGCAAGACCCTAGCATGCCCCCATGGTTTACAAACAGCTATACAGAGACACATCAACTGGGAGCAGATGTCAAAAACCACTCCAAGTCTTGGGACAATATTATATATCCACATTATGAAAGACAGCAACCTGTGCCACCACGTGGACGAAGCTATGAAAACCTATTTTACCAAGCAAGGCATGGGACATCTGCCGATGTTACAGCTAAACCTGTCATACTTAACCTTTCAAGTTCACCAAAACGTTATGCTGCTTTGTCTATGTCAGAAAACTCCCTGGAGAAGAATTCAAGCAATCCATGGAGAAATTCCAAGAGCGGGCATTGGTTTGTCACCCCAGAGATCACCATAACAGACAATGACATATGTGCAGGTGGCAGCAGACGTCGTGATGTCCACTCTGTTAGCTGGGATTCCTCAAGTGGTGAAAAAGGTCCAGCTTTGAGGGTAGTTAACCAGAAGAAGCCATCTAGCTTAGCAAATGTCCCAAAAGAAAGGAAACACAACAACTTTTCTCTTCAACAGAGTTTGGAGCAACTGGATGAACTCTTGGCTGATCTGGTTGTGGACTACAAACCACCATCTAGCAAAAAGTCAAGTGAAAATCTTTTAGACCAATTAAAACAACTGATAACTGAAGACAATGACAAAGACACAGGGCCCTCTGGACTTGAAAAAATAGAGAGTCCTAACACACAGCTCCCATCCTCCAAATCCAGCTCGGACACAATCAAAGACCCTGACAGTGGATGTGATGCTTTACAAAGGAGTGCAGAAGAATGTTCTCCAGACCACAGCACAGATGAAGATGACACAATGGTGTGCGCTAACAAGAAGTGCAATCGAATTGAGAGCATGTTCAACGCTTGCTTGTACTATAAATCATGTCACAGTTGTTACACATTTTACTGCTCTCGAAATTGCCGTAGGGATGACTGGGAGACCCATAAAGAGACGTGTCTTTATGGACGTGTCAGCAGTGTTTGTCGGCACACTCTTAAGTTCTGCAGAGAGAATTCAGAGATCCACAAAGCCTTCTCACGCATTGCTAAAGCTGGCTACCTCTCCAGAGGGAGAGGCGTTCTCTTTTTGGGTTTTGCCAATCCAGAGACAACTGACAACTTCCTGCAAGTTGGGCTTGAAAGCCTCCTCATCTCTCCAACATACTTGTCTCTGAGAGAGCTGGATGGCTTTAAGGACAACCTAGGTGAATACTGTAAGGAGTTGCAGCAGGCAGGTAACGAATACGACCCCAGTGAATGTTTCCTTCTGAATGTATCTATAGCTGTTGGTGAACTAGTGCCTAACAGACCTTCACCAAGGGTCCAAACGCCAACAGTTCGAAAATATGCAAAGGTGTCATTGGCTTCCTCAAGCCCTGACAAAAAAGTACTCAAGAAGGATGATGAGCTTGAAACTCTCATTCTCACACCACCTCCAGGCACACCAGACATTGACAAAGAAGGGGAAGAAGGAAGAAAAGCAAGAGAGGTGTGCTTTGTCAATATCCAGCGTGAGCTCAGGACCAGGGGAGTCTTCCTTCGCCACGAGTACCCTAAAATTTATAACCAGCTGTGTGAGTTTGTGGAGACCAACAAGAGGTTTACTCCCACAACAATTTACCCAATCGATAAGAGAACAGGGAAACAGTTTATGTGCATGATCATGGCTGCATCTGAGCCAAGGTCACTTGACTGGTTAGGTACCCCTCATCTCTTAGATGATATTATATAACATAGCACTAAGTATTAATGGTAATGATGTCAGCAACATAAAATGTACTTATTGTAAATACATGTGATTTAGCAAACTGAAAGCTGATTTGGATGTGTGTATATTGGTGACTTATCTTTGTCTATGTTTCCTTTTTTTTTCTCTTAGTTTTGTCTTCTGCTCCACAATAACTCACAGATTGCACTTTTTAAGGTTGACCTATGTTGCTTTTGGCTCGTTTCGATTCTGAAGCACTCAGAAGAATGAATAGCCTGCATGTAAACTAGGCTCGAACCCAATTATCCAGGTATTTTTAAATATATGAAGACAATATTTGAAGCACACACTATTCAGGGAGTGCACATTTATTAGCTCCACACAATAGTTCAACCAGATGCCATATTGTAATTAATACCTATATTTTTCTCCTCTCTTTCAAATTGAAATTTTACATCAGAACTACGTTGCATTGGTATTAATATTGCAACCAATTATTTGTATTTAAAATCATTATTTCCTTGCTATACTGTAGTTGTGTGGCTAGTTTTTATTATTACTATAGTATTTTTCATAGACAAATAAGTACAATCATATCATTGTGTNCATAAAGATTTTAGTTAGATTTTGTCTCAGCTAATCAAAGGCTTGATGTCATTATTGAATAAAAAGCTTAGTTTGAAAGTGGCCTTCAGTTGAAAACAAACAAACAAAAAATGCATTTGACACATAGCATTGTATGGGGATAGCTATTTCAAAAGGCTTGACAGCTTTAGATACAGGTTGTTTGAACTACCACAGTAAAAAGATGATTATTTTTGCTCAAAGCATGTTATTTATATTTATGTATTTTAATATTGCTATTGCTTCTAAGTCAATTTATCATGTAAAAGTGATAGCATTTGATGCTTAGAGATGTAAAAGGTATGAATTATGTACTGAGCATTAGATCATTTTAACATCCTGACCTAAAGACCTTATTAAAACTATTACCACAGTATGTTCAACTGTATGCAATGAAAGAGCAACCTTAACATCTTTACTGTAAATTTCAGTTTTATTATAGATGGAAATAATTATTTTGAATTGAGAGTTGTTTGCACAAAAACAGAAATTAGAAAATAAGAATGTTCTGAACTTAATCACAGCACTAAACTTAGACATGCCTGCTTTAATGACCACTGATTATTTATATAAGGTTGCTCTTTTAATCATATCTCTTTGTGCAAAGGTTTCCTCTATTTTATATTTTGTGATGTTTCTAACCTACAGTATTTAAAAATATAATAAATGGGATTAAACAAGTGGGAATGTTTTTGAATTTCTTTATTTATATACTGTCCCTGACATTAAGAAATAATTTACACTAATCAACATTTTTCAACACCTGTTTTAGCTTTTAGCTAACCTTTTGGATTAGATATATTTTATATGCATGTTTCAAAAAATAAAAAGGAACAAATGGCTTCTAAGAGCAAGACATGATCCATATAAAACCTCAAAAGCGAAGTTACAAACACTTTGATAAAACCCCATTTTGTTAGGCTATTTGGTAACTCTAAATTGTCCCTAGGTGTGAGTGAATGTGAATTGTTTTTTGATTTGATCCTGTGATGGATTTGTGACCTGTCCAGGGGTTCTCACCTTTAACTGCTGGAGATAGGCACAAGCTCTTAAATGCTGGAAAGAAAAAGGGGGTAAAGACAAAGGTTGAATGGGTGGATGATACTAAATATTTTAGAATTTTAGTTTTTAACACAAATTACATCATGCAATAATCATGGAAAATCACAGCTCCCCGTGGCTTATTTATAGTGAAGGAATGAGTTTAGGGCAGGCCTAAAAATAAGGAGGTCATGAAACATTTCTGAGACATGCTTGTCAAAACAGTAGCTAAGTCACCTGAAAACAAACATACATAGTTATGCTTATTATTAAGGCACTGTTTTCGGTTTCAGTTTGACTTAAAGAAATAATTGTTTACAACCTTGCAATGAGCTGATCTATCAATGCATCTGATTCATTTCACGGAGATATTTACTGTATTATGGGGCTGTATGCAAGGCTCTACCATTTTCTGCTGTAAGAGCACAGCCTAGTGGCCATCAATAAGAATTACTCCGCAATAAAATAATCACAAGTAAGTTTGTTATTGTTTTTAATTCTTATTATTTGTCTCAACTAGTTTAAGTTTTGTAGATACCAGTTAAAATGCTTATTGATAAATATTCTGTCTTTAAACAAATAACCTTGCTTGCGTTTGTAAATTACTGTATGGAAATAAATTGATTCAAATTTAAGCATTTTGCAGAGGAATATTAGGTAGACATGTTACCAATAATAGGTCATCCTAAAGAGTAATCTTCAGATTTCTTACAGCGTTTGTTAATGGTGTTTAAATTTGCACTTTATGTACACATTTGTGTCTTACTCAGCTACAAATTCACAGTACCGAAGAGTTTTCCTAACAGTTGTGTTGCACGGTTAACTATTTTATAGTGAAAGCTTCCTTTAATAGTGACACCTCCCTGCGCGCGCATGATGCGCAGGTCTCCTGCTGATGACAACATATGACAGCCCACTGTCCGTTTTAGCAGGAGCCAGTCTGCGACCCGCTAGTCGCCAACAATCAGGTCTTCTTCCTCGAGAAATCCAATGATCAGCTTCGTCTAGAGGCGTTGTGGGCGATTTGTACGGGCCACTTAGATTTGGTAAGTCGCTTGAGTCACGTTAGCGTGTGTTTTCGTTCACGTTTGCAGTTTAAGAGAACGATGCTGCCCAAAGCTAAAGCTAACATAGCTAGCCAGCTAGCTTACCGTTAGCCTACTTGTTCGCGTTAGCCACAGATAACTTGATTGTCGTTAGCAGGCTAGCCAGTTCACAAGGTTGCCTACTGTGCACCTCCTCCAAATCAGTGCAAACACACTTTATCTTTCACTGATGTAAACATATAGCACCCGGGTCTTGTAGGGTGTTTTAGTTTGCTTCATGATTACGTTTAGCTAAATGTTATTTTACATCAGGTCTCTGGGAAATTAATTAGCGGACGCAAAGAACGTTACTTATAACCATTTGTTTTTATGCCTGTCTTGCTATTTTTCGCTATGTTTTTTTTAAATTTACACTGACAACTTTGTGTTAAACACAGCTTTTAGCAGCTAATTTAAATGGAACGTATTTTTTGAGTTCGAGTTTTAACATTTATTAAGAAAATATCGTGAAACAGTAATACTGGTTCGGCCTAAAGGTGGTCATTTGACACAATAAGTACTACGGCCAATTGTAGCATGTAAGGATTATGAGGAGATTGTTTATTTTGCCCAGAAATATCAAAGCAATGACAAATGATCTTTAAGATTCTGCTTCTGTGTTTATGTCCTTAAATTGAGATATTTTAGTAAATGTCAGACAGTCAAACTAAAACAAAACGAAAGAAGCTTAAATTGTGAAACACTGGTGAATTACATCTCAGTCTCTGGCACTTTAAACTGTTACATCTGATGATTGATCGTGCTATAATCTGCAAATGATAGTGTTTTACTCATGTTTAAATAAATGTCTATCAGGTCTGTATAAAATGTATCCAAAACAGTATATTCTTCCACTGTGTAGTGTTGACCACACAGCATGTTGCCTGGCATTTCACACAGTCGTCTACATAATCTGTGACGAGGATGACTTTGGGTTTCATCTGTGACCAGGGAGGTTTACCACGACGCACGCTCACACAGCTGTGCTGTCTTTCTGTTAGCTGGCTTGACAAAACTTAAAACTATTCAAATACAACTTTAGATCAAATTTTCATCTTCAGGCTCTCTGTGCTTTCCAATAATATGGACAGAGCGTTCTGTTGCCACAAAACATACACACCTCAAATAAAAGTGTGTGAAACTGGATGAAGGAAGATATGAGATGATTATGAACAAACCATTATCCCAACTCTGAATAGAGAAAAATACTGTTGGAAATTGGCTTTGCAGTGAAGTTAAGACTGCTATAATCTCCAGGTAACTCTACCAATTAAATAAAAAGGTATCTTAGTAAAAATTCTATGAAATACTGACTACATAAATATCTATTTCTTTTCAGATCTCCCAAGTCTAGGGGACATTTTGGTGAATCTGAGCACAATATAAATTATGCAAAATCTACTTTACGTCATTAACTACATTTATTGTTCTCATGGTAACAAAACAGGCAGCCCACAGTATTTTTTTTCCCTTTTTAGTTTCTAATAGGAAGTGGCACAAAAGAGAGAATTCATTGTTAAACCTGCAGATATCATCATTCGGTTTTATGAGAATATTATGGTTAACTATTTCCCACAAATCATTTGACTGTTTTAAACATTGTTAGATTTACGTCAGTGGTTGAATTGTCAGTTTGTATAGACTCAAACCTTATAGTTCTATTGTGCTGTGATGCCACCATGTGCCCATTTCTCTTGATAAAATATTTAGTGTGTGTAAGTCAGTGGTTCCGTAGGTTTTGTCCTGATGTATTGTCTAACATTATGCTGGTGTTTATTCTCAGTCATGCAGGACATGGCAACCCTAAGTGAAAACTAATTGAATTAATAATTAATTCGATCTAATTGAAAACAACTAGACACCCTTTGTTTCCTGAAGATGTTTCACCTCTTATTTGAAAGGCCTTTTCATCGCTGAACTTCTTTGATTAGTTGTCAGAACTGATATTATTCAAATAAATGTTTGATCCTTTAGGTTAGTGGTCTCCTTAGATGAGAAAATGCCCTTATTCTGTATTAGTATTGTTACTTTGCTCCCTATATCAGGGGGATAAATCTGTATGGGATATTGGAGCTGGAGTCTTTGCTTCTTCTGTATCATCCTGCCCAGTTGAAGATCTCTAACAACTCTGTCTAAACCGCTTTGTTTAAAAAAAAAACAACTAATATGTCATTCTGAAACACTTCACAAAATTACAGATGCCCCTAAAAAATCACTTATAAATTACACATTCTTATTCTATTTACTTGTAAAGCAATGTACAAAGCTGTCAGAAAGGGAAGTGTGAAAAGGATGTTGGCTCAAGAGCCAGCTTTTTTTTTTAAATTTATTTTTATTTTTTTGTAGAAAGTGAAATCCTTAATATCTATTAAAAGCACTTGGTTCCATTGGTTGGTCAGCTTGTGTGTGTGTTGGATCATGTAGTGGGAGGAGTGGGCTGTTTTCCAAACATTTATTCTGGCTCTGTGACTTGTACGTATTTATAAGGTACTCTTCCTCATGTTTAGCGGTTCCAAACTAATTCTCATCCTTGCTGCGTAACTTGTTTTGTCTTTGGCTTTCCTGTTGTCTCTAACTCTATCATATGAATCAAATGCACACATATGAAACCATTACTCTTCCCGTGAGTCATCTCTGAACTATTTGGTGATTGTTCTGTTAGTACTATGAAGCATTTCTCACCTCCACAATGTTTTGGACCATGCCTTCCCTCTCATTGTGTTTGGTTTCTCTTCTGCTTCAGAGATCCTCAGCGCTTTCGCCGACTGACTCACCAGTTAACTCTTATTGGTGAATTGTATTGGAGCTGACGGGCAAACGACAGCCCACTACTGTGCTACCACTTAATAGCTTAGTTGCTTTTTCACTTCTCTGTGAGGAATGTGCTTATTTGAGAATATGACTGGATGTGGAAGTGTGTCCTGAGTGTCAAACCTCACTGATCTGCTACTGGGAAGAAGAGGTCACTAGTTATTACAGATATGTTACTCATTACTGAAAATATTTGTGACTGGATGGAAAGTAGTCCTCTCTATATATGTCAGTAAAACGACAAAGTCAGCTGTGGTTTAGTTTCTCAGTTTATGAATAATTAAAACTTAAGTTATAGGTGAGACAAAAGAGTTGTTGTAGACTTCCCTATTATTTGCTGTTTTTTTTTTCTTACTAGGTCAAATAGCTGGGATCTTCAATTTAATTTACAAAGCAACAGCCATAATATATCTGAGAGCAATATTTGCTAATAAACAATTCAGCATTTTGCTGAGATCTGATCATGTGCAAATACCAACCCCCATTATCTTAGCTCTTTTGATTCAGCATATTACTCACAGAAGTATTTGGAGGAGGGCTCATTTTATGTTATCAAATGTGAGTTATAAATAACTGTGACACAGACTGATATTGTATCCTACCATGGCCAGATAAGTTTGCTGTTTGTGAAACAGAAATTGACTATTAATTTTAGAAGCTAATCTTGAAGTGGTTGCTTAAGAATATTATCAGTTAGATTACATTTTCTTAGAAGCCAGTCCGAGCAAGCAGGACGGCAGTGTGCATCTAAGACACAAAAACAAGTGTAAGGTAAACTTTTAATTCTTCGTAAGTACCAGTTCCAACATTAATAGCAAAATATTTTAAATTATTGACTTCAGGATCATGTTTTTAATGGAGATTTTTTTCTAACTTGTCAGTTGCTGTTGTCTGCATATGCTCAGGTTGTTCTGGGGTTATATCAAGTTGTAGTTGTGCTTTGCATTAACTCTATTAATATTGTTACAATATGAACATATTCATATTGTTAACCCCTGTTGGAAGTTATAAAATAATTTTAACATTGCCACAATGTAAAGCTTTTTGCTGCAGTTTCCAGCCATGAGGGGTAAATTAAGTGGAGCAATAAAAAGAAGCTTCTCTGGTTGCAGCAGTTGGCTGAAAGAATAACTTCTCTTCTATTATTAAAAGAAGACTTCTCCACATACACCTCTCTGTTTCCTCACCTGCCCATATTGTCTGGGCTTCTATATTGTTGTGTATATTCTGAGTAATTTGACTGTAGAGGCATAGCCAAAACCCCAGTGTGCATTATCACAAAAACCACAAAAGCAATTTTTAAGTATAGGAGATTAGCGTTATTTGTGAGTAGCCTATCTCTTTAGAATATTATTTAGGAATGATCAGTATACTTATTTATGCTTTGTAACAGTGATTTATTGTACAACCCATCATTTTCTGTTTCAGTACACATAACAAATTTATTTTGTCAGGCGTGTCCACCCAGACATTTTGGGTGTTTGTTATCCTTTGTGGAATGACACTTCCTTGGAGTCATTCCCACTCCCAGGCAGTTTTCTGCGGTCTTGTGTCATTTCACGGTTAAATTTGTGGTTTTTAGTGGTAACAACCAAATACAAAGAGGCTTTTGTGGAAAGTATAAACTCAGAAATCCTCCAAATTTCATGTGCTCTGCTTGAGTTGCATATTTTTGACTGTGTATATCTTGGGAAAAAAGTGATTTGCATTTTCTTCTTTATAGTGTCTCTGGGAGCTTCAGAAAACGTTTGCGTCTGTCTGTTGTGGTCATTGGAGCCACTGTGTTAAACATAAAGAATGCAAACGACCACTTCTATGTTTTAATCTTAACATGAAAACTAATGTTCACACAGTTTTTTTTTTTGTGGAAATAAAACTTTGCCTGCTTTTGTTTGAGTACATTCCTTTATTCATCCAGCCTAGTTAAAATAACGAACATGCATAAAAACCAAACAAACCAAAGAGAATTGATTGTGTTACTGTAAAAGTTTTCCTCTCAGCAGGCTAATATTATTATATTCTTAATTCAAACAATAGAAGAGTTTTATTGGACCTTGAATCCTCAAACTTCTGTTTCATCATGATTGTTCCTTCAATTTTCTTTTATTTCAAAATGATCACACTCTTCCATGATGGAACTGCTTTTTATTAGGTGCCATCTTTGCCTGCTTATTTAGTCACACAGCCTAGATCACAATACAGTTATTTATACTTTTAAATTCCCTAATAGAATTATTAAATTACAATTTGCTATTAAATATCTTTAAGTGTATTTTTGCTGATTGTTGTAAAATTTAATGAAAGTAGTTGCAAATTATTACTGAAATCTTTAAACCATAAATACTGGCTTCCTTATGTTTTAAGGAAGTGACACACAAGCAGAGATAACTGATGTTATCATTCTGAGTTATTTTTTCCACACTTTACAAAAACAGTTTCAGGTTCACATTAGACGTTTCTGTTTTTACAGGCTGGCTGTTCTTGACAAGTACAATTTACATTTAACAGTTTTTTTCACCCACGCAATAGGATAGCCAGGAAACATTATTTATTAATTATACTTTTTAAAAAAAAAAAAACTTTGTCTTTGTTTCATATAATTATCTCATTGACCATTTTTTTTCTGATCTATGTTTTTGTATTCCAGTCATCTCCTTCTCTGCCTGAGTGAGTCTGTGAAGATGGTGAAGCCAGACATCCACACTCTGGCGCACCACCTAAAGCAGGAACGTCTGTATGTGGCATCAGAGAAGCAGCTGATTCAGAGGCTCAACAGTGATGTGTTGAAGACAGCCGAGAGGCTGTACCGGGCTGCCTGGATCGCCAAGCAGCAAAGGATCAACCTCGATCGTCTCATTCTGACCAGGTCAAACCAGTTGCAGCAACTTGGCCTCAACAGGAATTATGCTACAAATACAAACCAAGTGACAGGCCCAGTTTAGACAGATATTTGACTTTAGAAAAGCTAATGACTTTAATTAGTTTTTTTGAATCATGTCTTCTCTCAGTTTTCCACTGTACAGAAAGTAGAAGTTTAGAGTGAAAAAGATTTAGTTTGAAAATAACAGTTAGTTTGTTTTGTTGACATTTCTATGGTAAAACAAATGCTAATTTCTAAAAAAGTTTTTTAATTAAATTTTTTGTTGTGGACTTCATTTCCAAAAAATGCTAATTAATGATGTAAATTAGTTGGAAGCTATTTTATGTGTTAAGTGATGTAATTGCACTTGCACACACTTATTGATTGATCTAAATGTTGATGGCACATGTCTGCAGAGCATTGTTTAAGTTTGTGGTAGCATGACGCACTCTTAAAGCTCACCTAGTGTGACAGCATAATGAATCTGTAGGCGCTGATACAACAATCACATGCAAGAGCAAAACACCGTTTTAAGACAAAAGCACTGATATTGAGGACTTTTTCCTATTGCTACCTTGTGATTATTTTTGATTCGCCAAATTAAGAAAATGATTGGATCTTGTGGTGGTTTAAGTTCATAAAAATGTACAACTTTACATGTTAGGAGTGGCTGCTTCTGTGAACTGATACATACTTTAGAGTTGTGGTAAAAAAAAAAAAGTAAACAACTTGACAATAAATGTCAAACTAGCACATTAAATAACTGAGTCAAATTTAGTTTCCCTGTTTTTTGAGGTTTTAAAATACTTATGACGTTCTTGTCTTTTAAGCATACTATTTAAATATATCTACCGGTAATCAGAGCCATGTTTAATAAAGAGCTTGTTTTTTTAGAGTAGAAAAATATAATCTGTAATAAAAATCAATAGAGGACTTTATAAATCTGCATCACATCAGAATGCACTGTATGTCAGGTTGTCTTGTAGAATTACACCCTCCTAATATTAACCAACGAATACAAATCTGTATACTTTGCTTAAAATGAGGGGTGTTTAATTCTGTATATATACAGATTCATCCACTTGAATTAAACACAAAACCAACTTTCAGAGCAATAACCTGTAAATCACATTATAGTTGTTATAATGAAACCTCTCTTCTGTAGTGCGGAGGCCTCCCCGGCTGAGTGCTGCCAACATGCCAAAATGCTGGAAGACACGCAGTTTATAGATGGCTACAAGACTCTGGGTTTCCAGGAAACAATCTATGGAGAGTTTTTGGCCAGGTTGAGGGAAAATCCCAGACTGGTTGCATCCTGCCTTGTGGCAGGAGAGAGACTAAACCAGGAGCACACCCAGGGTGTCATACATAATGTCTTCACCTCACTTTACGGCAATTGCATTATGCAGGAGGATGAGAGCTACCTACTGCAGGTCAGGAAGCTAAAAAATTGAGTAATCAAATCAACTTTTGTAAAGTTTGACGTTTTCTGTAAGATTTCATTTCTTTTCTCCCTCTCCCAGGTGTTGAGATACCTTGTAGAGTTTGAGCTGAAGGAGAGCGACAACCCTCGCCGCCTTCTCCGACGAGGGACCTGTGCCTTCAGCATTCTTTTCAAGCTCTTTTCTGAGGGCCTGTACTCAGCCAAGCTCTTCCTCACTGCAACCCTTCATGAACCCATTATGCAGCTGCTGGTGGAGGATGAGGACCACCTGGAGACAGACCCGTCCAAGGTGACTGAGCGGCTCACCCCGGCGCAGCAGGAACGCTTTGGAGAGAAAGGTTCTGAGGACTACAAGAGAAAAGTGCAGGCAGCTGTTGAGACCAATGAAGCCAAGCTGGTCGCTCTTGTAAACAAGTTTATTGGCTACTTGAAGCAAAACACCTATTGCTTTCCTCACAGCCTGCGCTGGATTGTGTCCCAGATGTACAAGACTTTATCATGTGTAGAACGTCTTGAGGTGGGAGAGATGCGCACCATGTGCACAGACCTGCTGCTGACCTGCTTCATTTGCCCCGCCATAGTCAACCCCGAGCAGTATGGTATTATCTCAGACGCACCCATCAACGAGGTGGCTCGCTTTAATTTAATGCAGGCAAGTGCACTTCTGTTCTCACTTGTTTACACTCTGTAAACGTTTACCTGCAGACTGATGTTGCTTGCCTTTTGTTGCACAGGTGGGGCAGCTTTTGCAGCAGCTGGCTATGGCTGATGACGATGCAGACCCAAGGCGAAAAAGCAGTTTGTCTAAATTTGATAAGGTATGTGTTTTAAATGATTGTTTCCTGAGTGTAAGCTTCAGTGGCTGGGGCTGATTTCACAATACAGCTAAATTTAGTTTTTACAAATATGTGGTCAAAGCAAGGAGTAACCACTAAAAAAGTTAAAGGACTTTTTAAGAGCATTGTCAGTGATTTAGTATTAAGAAATTACTTGTGCTTTGTATGAAGTTATTTTCTCAGATTTTTTGTTTGGCAGGGTTGTGTTGCTGCCTTTCTGGATGTGGTGATTGGAGGAAGAGCTGTTGAGACCCCACCCATGTCCTCCATGAACCTTCTTGAAGGCCTCAGTAGGACAGCAGTCTATATTACCCATAACCAGCTGCTTGCACTGGTAGGTTTTTCATTTTGTAGAACATCTAACATGTTGACAGTCTCTTGTATCTCATCCTCTGTTACAAAAAAGGACATTATTCAATTTTAATGCATTTAGAATCTCTGATGGTCTGCAAAATACCCAAGTAAGTCTACTAAAATTTTACATACAGGAGGGAACAAAAACAAAACGGTGCTATTGTTTGTGCATACAATAATATGTTATGATCATTATTTATGGACTTTTAGGAGCTTAGATATCATTTTTCATTTTTAAAGCAGATTAAATCAAAAAGACAAGTGCAGACTTGTCAGAAACAATAAACACGATTCTTTAAAACCAGTTTTATCTTCCCATGAATATATATTTATGATAGTACTGAACATATTGCTTTCCGCTTCCCACATAGGTGGACTTTGTTCGGAGTGTGACGGCAGGGGACCACCTTCGAGAGGAGGAGCACATGGCCCTGGAGACCCTGCTAGCCAATGTGCCACAGTCTCGAACCGTGAAGAGCAACAGCCTGGAGCTCACTCCCTCCAACACCCCCCAGCTTTCCCCAGCTACCACTCCTGCCAACAAGAAGAACAGACTTCCCATAGGTACCTTCCTCCACTGCCTCTAGGCTCTGCTTATCATTCTGGTTTTTAGTTTGATGATTGATGTGCTCGATATGATGCAAACTCTTGTAATTTTACTGGAAGATCTTTTTTTTGTGGAAATATCAAACTTTAAAATAAGAACTAGAAAATTCAAGTGTGATCTTTAGCTTAATGAAAAGCTGTGAACGAGCCGGCGGTGATGGCTTGTGAAATTCTGTCTTTTATGGTAAGCTAATGAGTTACTTCTCAGCTTGTTAGAAGCATAATTAGCATGGCCTAGATTAAGGTTCAATTACAGAAATGACAACCAATTAAATTACCAAATATAAATGAACTGGTTCTAATTGGAATGGATGGAAAAATGCATAGATTACCTTCATTAGCATTTTTTAGGGCAAATAATGCTGTAGCATCAGTCTTTGATCAGAAGTACGGTAAACTATTTCTGCTTACTGTCAAAAAACAGTTATTTATAATTTAAGTATTACGTGATATTTCAAATACAGTCAATTCTGAGATATACTGTTTATTCTTTCTCCAACTCCCTACCTTTCCCTTCTCCTTTCCTTTTTTATGCTGCCAATGAATGACCAGGACAACATTTAGCTGCTATAACATCCTGGGACTCCACAGCCACCACTTTGTCCGCTCACATTCCATTAGTAACCCCTTTTGGTGGGTAGTCGGTCAGTTCTGTTAGAACTAAAGAGAACCTAACTCGTGTATCTGTTGTCTTACCCAGCTTCGTGTTTGATAACACTCATTAAACTCCACTCAGTCTGCTCTCCAAACTGCACAGTGACCATGCTTTCTGTTATGCATCAGCGCTGATGTCATGTGCCCTCACCCTGTCTGCTTAGCCTTTCACAAGGCTTTTGCTCATTGCAAGAGCTAAAATGTTTTTTCCTATCGTTTGTTTTTCCTCCCATGCTTTGCCTCCTCATTAAGCAGAATTTGGCTGTTCATTACCGGGTAGTGTGGGGGTGGGGGTGGTGGTGTTTGCTTAAACACTTCTTATCAATAAGGTTGGGTAATGTTACCATTATAATTATTTTTGGTACCCAGTTGTTCCATTTTTACAAATATTTCATTGTCATTGTACTAGAAGTGTATTTTAGGTTAAAAAAACATTTAAACAACGCTACAAAGAATATATGTTTTTGAAAAAAAAATTTAAAACAAGCTTTATTTATTTATGCCTCTCTTTTTTGCACAGAGATGTGACATTATTCTGTGTTTTATTATACTATGTTAATGTTGTTGGTGGTAGATAAAGATTTCAGTACCCAACCCTACTGATTTGTACTTTCATCAGGTATAATGGCAAATTTAAGTATTTCAGACTTCTCTGTTTGACTCCTCAGGGGTATGAGGTCACATGACAATAGTTTAAGGTATTATTGAGGATGAAGTAAAACAAACATTTTTTTTGTCAGTCAAATTGATGGCATCATAATTTGATGTGTTTAATGCTTGTGAAAACTCAAAACACAATCCAGGGTTTGACACATTCTGAACAATTTGAGAACATCAGGTAGCTTTTTTCCTGTGTATGTAATTCAATAACCTAATATAATCTGTATTTTGTAATTATTAGCCACACAACATAAGTGTTCTGAAATGTCCTATTTTGTTAGTCTAAATGCGTTATTTTTCTAACAATCTTAAAAATAGTCTTTTTGTTCATGCCAAGTTTTCACATCTTTCGTCTTTTTTTTTTCAAATTTTATTGTAGTATAGCAGTGATGCATGCATATATTAGTTTAGTAGGCTGGCTTTTTATGACATGGCACAGTCAAAATAGGGTATCATTTTCTTAAATATATCTTGGGTTTTTTTGCAACTAACTTTAGCCTAACATCTGTAAATAAGACAGGACCTATATTAATGTCATACCAATGTTGTTAAAGATAAAAATGTTTTGTTATAATCTCATATAATAAAGCCACTGCAACTGTAAAGGTCAGCTGGCAGTCAGTACTCATAATAAACATGTACCGGTAACTACCAATTTGTCATTGTATTGTTCTCAAATAGGAAATGTAAGCAAAGCCTTGGTATGACAGCGTAGAATTTTGTTTGTACTTTTTAGACCAGCTCTGTAGTTTTTCCGATTTACTGTTTGCTTGTGGCTGTTCCAAGTAAAAATAATAGTAGAACATTATTTGTGAGTGAAAAATCACACTTGTTTCCGTCACATTCCCCACAACCCACCAACCAGCAGCTGCTCGGAGCCGCAGCCGTACCAACATAGCCCAGGAGGGGGAGGCAGAGGCCAGCTCCCAGGAGTCCCTACAGGAGCTGATGCCAGAGGAGGTGCTCGTAATTTCACTAGGAACTGGCCCTCAGACTGTCCCTGGGATGATGTCAGAGAATGAGGTAATGTGACTTGAATTAATGTCCTCATTTGCCAGGGAGATGATGGGATAAATTCAGTGCATTATAATGTCCTGCCACCGGAAGAGAGAAAGATCTCTTAGACTGTATTTTATGGTTCTTTGGGTGTGTTACTCATATTCTGTATTTCAAAGAACAAAACAAGACTTAAAAAGAAAAAAAATAACAACTTGAACATTATAGCAAAATAGCCTGCTGATCCAGATGAAGTTTAATGGTGTCTGTGAGTTAAGTCATACCTGTAGCAGGAATGTCTCATGTCAGAGCAAGGTTTACAGTCGTGTACTTATAATCACACTCTTGCTCTTCTTGCTGCTTTGCAGGTTTTGAACTTGCACATGGGCGATGGGGCCTCAGGGGATGGCCCTGCGGATGATGCTAAGCTGCATGGGAAACCAGATAAAACGTTGCGCTTCTCGCTGTGCAGTGACAACTTGGAAGGAATCTCAGAGGGTGAGTCTGTCGCCTGATGACTGATTTAAACATCACAAAACAGTTTCTTTTAATCAAATACATTAAGGTCATAAACAGTTTTATAATAAGCTACGGAGTATGATTGAAATGTATTTATTAGTTTGTTTGTTCACCTACCTAAGGACCATCCAATCGTTCTAACTCTGTGTCCTCGCTGGACCTGGATCGGGAGTCTGTTTCTGAGCTGGGAGCTGAACCATCTGAGAACAACGGGGCAGAGGCTCTGCAGCTTCTGGAGCATGAACATGGTGTCTGCTTTCATCTTTGCATGTTGCAAAAATCGTCTCTTGGAATTAAAAAAAAGGCCTATAAATGAATAAAAGACAGAAGGATTATGATGAAAAATGAGCAGGTAAAGTCTTACTTTGTTTATGACCATATGTCTCCTCCAGCCACCACACAGGACAACCTGGATGACAAACTGCGCAAGTTTGAGATCAGGGATATGATGGGTCTGACAGATGACCGTGACATCTCTGAGACGGTCAGTGAAACCTGGAGCACTGATGTGCTTGGCAGTGACTTTGACCCAAATATGGATGATGATCGACTGCAGGAAATAGCAGGTGCAGCACTTTTTCGTTATATTTGTGTGTAGGAATTCTCTGTGCACATTAGAAGCAAATTAATGAACATGCTCGGCCCATTTATTTGCTCAACACAGACTGTTTTCTAAAAGACTTTGGGAAATGTCATCACCTTGTGGTTTTTGGGTGAAATGGCACCAAAAGATCTTCTTTTTTCCCAGCCTTTACAATGAAATCCAGTTTTTAAATGTTCGATGCAGAGAATAGATTTGGTGGAAAAAATGGCCTGTATTAGCACTTATTTTTGGGCGTCTTTCATAGTTTTATATCTTTAATTGCAAATTCAAATTTTATTCTGTAATGCAAGTCATAACTTGATTTTAAACAAAGCATTGTATAATGTGTTCACAATTTAAGACTAACACCACCATATTTACATTTTGATGCAGAAATGACAGATTTCACATTTTGTGGTTTTGTTTCATAAAACTGTTGAATCAGTTTTCCTAAACAGATAGTTGCTCTTCCATTTGTTAGATGCTCCTGTAAATTGAACATTAAAACACGTCAGCTTACTTTATGCCAGCAATAATAATTAGCTGATGTGTAACATGAACAGCTTCAGTAGTCTGTTAGGACCAAACAGGAAAGATAAAAGGCATTTAAAGCCAAACAGATCCATTACTGTGAAACTAGCCACAGACTGAATATTAGTCTGCATGTTTGTATTTCTCTTAGTTATTTTGTTGGTATTTTTCCCACTGCTTATCCCTCTTTTATTTGCTGACATTCACTCAGTCCCTGCAGTCTTATTGACCTTGGTTCCTTCTCATTTGCATCCACCATTTTTCATTCTTCGGAATATGGCGTTGGGGGACTTTTCCATCATTAAGTGAATTTACAGCGATTTCCTTATGTGTTTTCTCCAAGGGATTGGTTTATGAGATGCACATTAAATATCCATTAATACCTCATTATCCCTCTGATAAGATTACCATGATAATGAGGCAGAAATTCTAATTGTTTCACTTCTTGTTGCGCCACTCATTTAATCATCCACCTGAAAGACAAGTACTCTGCGCCCCTACCTTGAGGACTGTAAACATGGACAGCGGGATAGAGCTCTCCCACTGTCAATGAAAGTTCTGCCCCCGCCAAAAGCAGCTCACACTGTTGCCTGGGTGTTGGTATGTTTATGTGCTCATGGTGTGTGTGTGTGTGTGTGTGTGTGTGTTTGTGTGTGAGAGAGTGACATGAAGTGGAAGCAATGTGTAGCAGGGAGTGCAGCCACTACAGGTTGACTTTTTGGTCCTGAGCCCTGGACACTGACTCCCACTCACACCTGCTGGCTCTGTTTCCCCTCCTCTGCATTTTTCCGCCTTGTTAAGTCACCGCTTCCCAAATGGAGACGGAGAGACAAGGCGCCGAAGACTTCGTAGGAGGGTGGACAAAGCAGTAATTTGGTTGTGAATTATGCTGCGTTTAATCAACAGCTCAAAGTCACGGCCCTGGAGGCCAGTGAGGGATGAGATGGTGCTATTAACCTCTGACCTCTGGCACAGTGGTGGATGGGCCTGTGGGTCCCACTATGTAATGTATGTGACCTCTTAATGTGTCTGTGTGTAGAACTCACTGTCTCTGATCCAGAATCCGTTCACACAGCTCAGTGGATCATATTTTTTGCTTATCTCAAGTCATTTTTGTTGTTCAGATGTACTTGAGGGCACACTGTGATGGATCAGTTTATTGTTTTAGGCTTTTAAATTATTCCTGTCATTCAGTAAAAATGCTCAATATCAACTAGTTTGAAGTTTTTATTTTAGAAAATTAGCTCATTTTCTCTGTATTTATATTATACTTTATTTCAAATAAATCAGGAATTTAGAGATCTTTTTAATTTGTGACAAAAAAACTAACATTTGAATTAAAAAGTTGATTGCAAATTTAATCTATTTAGTTTTGAGATGGACATCAGTATGCTTGTTATAAAAATCACACTTGTTGCTTTTATGTGCAATCTTTTGTCAAAGCTATGAACTCGTAACTGTGTTTGTCTTATTGCTGGTTTAACACTTTCCTTTACCAGAAATATGTTAACGCTGCCTCTTCCTGTTCTCTGTTTTCAGGGGCAGCTGCAGAAAGCATGCTCGGCAGCCTGCTGTGCCTTCCTGGCTCCGGTTCAGTTCTGCTGGACCCCTACGGCTCCACCATCTCAGAGACCACGAGCGAAGCCTGGAGTGTGGAGGTCCTTCCCAGTGACTCAGGTGTGCAAGCAGGTTTATTCCGCTCCAACGCACACATTTTTGCTTCGGTTATCGTCCCGTTTATTGTGCTTCAGCCGCATGACAGCCTCAGCTGTGCATTTAAAGCACATGTTTATGTTTCTTCAATGTAGTGTGGGGGGGATGGGACACCAGGTGTGGTGGTGCTGCATTCCACACCAATAACGTGCGTGCATCTGTCATCATATTTGCGTGCTCTTGCCTGTCTTTCAGGGCAGATCTGCCCGTGCCAGTAAAAAGCAGCTAAGGGTTTCCTTGGAGGGACCACCAGGTGTGTTTGCACCTGTGAAAGAGCAGCGGGGAGGGAAGCACAAGGACAGCAGCTGTCCTCCGTTTACTGTCAGCTTGTATAGTGTCAGTTCTTTATCTGGGTAGTCTTAGCACTGTGCTGCTTTGTGACTCACAGGAGTATCCATCCATCCATTATCTTAGCCCGCTTCTTCCTTTCAGGCTCACAGGCGTTACTGGTGCCCATATTCAGCGGTCAAAGTGCGAGGGGCGGGGTACACCCTGGACAAATCACAAGTCCATCACACGGCTACATAGAGACAAACAAGACAAACCACCATTCACTCACACCTAGGAACAATTTAGAGTTACCATTTAACCTGTTTTTGATCTGTGAGAGGAAACCAACGGAACAAATCCACATATGAACAGAGAGAACATGCAAACTCTACCCAGAAAGATCCTGGGCTGGGATTTGTTCTGGCAACCTTCTTGCTGAGAGGCAACAGCTCAACCGACTGAGCCACCTTGCTGCCTCATAGGAACATTCTTTCTTAACTCCAGTAATCACCAGTTTAATCTCATGTGATGCCTTTTATGTGCAAATGCACTTTTTAAAAAGTTACACATTACCCTTTATCTGTGCTTAATAATTGAACAGTCAAAACTAATCTTATATCAATTAGAAATTTTGTGCTTGACTTCCCATTTTGAAAATAAGTGCTTTGTGAAAATCAATAGAGAGCTTTATTAACATTAAGTGTTTTTTGGAAAAGCTTGGGCCTATGGTAATTAAAGCAGTGCTTTATTTCAATATGTGTAGTGGAAGGAAAAAAAAAAGATGTCATGCACGAGTGTCTTGATTGCTTTTTGTTCCGTTTGCTTCCCCTGTTCTGCTCAATAATGGTGTGATCCCAAGCCTTCTTTACGTGGAGTGCTTGTTTCATGGCCAGGCAGCAGAAAACTGCACTCAGAAGAGCCCTTCACCAGCACATTATTACTAACGAGCATGCAAATGAGCGCTGCTGTTAGAATGAAGCCTCTGGGTTCGACCCAACAGCTCCGTTGGGTAGCCAAAGAATTGGATACGGTAGCTTTATTGTTTGGATTGGCAGTTATAAGATGTGATTATGTACATTTGTTGTATATATTTTGTATGGACATGCTTATTTTTCTAATAATAAAAGAAGAGGTTGAAATGTAGAGTAACCGTCTGTAGCAAAATAAAGTAAGCACGGTGCTGTCTGCTTTTTTTTTCTGAACAGAACTCTTTGTTGTCTCACTTTTTTTAAAATTCTTCTTTCGTTTTGCTTTGGGTTTCCCCTGTAGAAGCCCCAGATCTGAAGCAGGAGGAGCGTCTTCAGGAGCTGGAGAGCTGTTCTGGGGTCGGCAGTACGTCCGATGACACGGAGGTCAGAGAGGTCAGCTCCAGACCCAGCACACCCGGCCTCAGCGTTGTCTCAGGTATGACTTTAAAACCCCTCCCTTTCATATTTTGTCTAAACGACTTCCTCTGCTTTGTTCTTTTTCTTTTTGAATAGATCTGCCCTGTTTCGGTTTGACTCTGTAGTCTGTTTTGTCTTTTGGAAAGTTAATATTTAAACTGTAGCTACTTTCAGGTTAAATAAAAACAAACCAACTTTTTTAACATTTTTATTTTTATGTATTTATTTGTTTGTTTGTTTGTTTGTTTGTTAGCGTGCTCATTTTTCTGGGAGGGTTTTTAACCTGCATAGTGGCACTGGTGTAAATTTCCCTGAATGACACAGAGGTTAATGCTGGTTGTCTTGTCCGTGGGCTCAGGTGGACACGCAGTGGTGATGCGTGTGAAGCAGTTCCGTAGATTAAGAAGCCAGCGGTGACATTCCTGGCTCTGCTCACAGGGAAAAACTCCCACAGGATCCGGCCGATGGATAGTCTGCTTCTGATGATCATTCTTATCCGTGTCTCTCCCTTAACCCATGGGAGCTTACGCTACCAATTTAAAGTTCCCACCGGGTTCCCACCTGAGAGAGACCATACAGCATAGTCTAAAGAGACAAATATCCTCTTTTGTTTCAAAACCTCTGCACATGCAGTTTTTATTTTTGTTGACTGCTGTCAAGTTAAAAACATCTCTCTGCAGAGGTGATATTGAGTCTCTTTTGTCCTTAATGTCTGCATAACCATGTGTCCCACAGGTATCAGTGCAACGTCAGAAGACATTCCTAATAAGATCGAGGACCTGCGGTCGGAGTGCAGTTCAGATTTTGGTGGGAAGGACTCTGTGACCAGTCCAGATGGGGAAGAGTCGAGCCACGGTAGGGCAGTTCCACTTCCCTGCAAAGCTTTTTATTGTCTAAATCGAGGGGTGCCCAAACCTTTTCCCTGACAGGGCCAAAATGAAAATCTATCCAAGGGCTGTGGGCCAAATGCAATAATATAATACATGAAATGTAAATGCTTCTTAAATCTTTTTATTTTTTATGATTAAGCTAGGAGCCAGTGTGGTGGCCCACGTTTTGTTTGTTTATTCTTTTAGCCTGTGCTCTTGGAGAATGTTTGACATGTGGTCGGGCAGCAAAGGCTCATTTCACAAGTTGATAAAATCTGAGTATTTGTGGTCTTATAAAATGTTCAAATCTACTTGTGTGCTAGTTTATATACTGTATCTTCTTTAGTTACTTTTATTTCATTTTTATCTTAATATAAATCAAAGATAAAGTCAACTGTCTGCACTGCAGCCTCTTACATAGCTATTGGGCCAGTGGATGGATTGACTGACAGCAGAACAGTGCTTCTGCAGAGGACTGCAGGCAGTTACAACCTAGTAACCAGGGCAGCTATTGGTGGGCCAAATACAATGGCAATTTTGGCCCGCGGGCCTCACTTTGGGCACCTCTGGTCTATATGTGGTTAAATCCACATTAGTCAAAAGCCCAAACCACTGATTTTCTCTTCAAATGTGAAAGTCTTACTTAAAGAGGAACTTAACCCAAAATTAACTTTTTTAGCTGATAAACTGTCTAGAATGTGTCTAAAATGTTATATAGTACTATTTCTGTGCAAATTTTGATGTTTTTATGCGTATTTGTTCAAATCTGTAATATTTGGTCTAAAAACATCTTTTTGCTGCTCATATGGGTAGAGCAGTGGTACTGCAGGCTAATTTGCATATTGGTTAACGGCTCTCCACGGTGACGTGTCTTCTCCACGGTTTCGTCACAGCAGCTGTGTTCTGGTATAAAAGCCTCTCTCTAAGACACGCCCCTGCAGCAGTCAGAGGGTGGAACAGCTAACATAGCATGATCGTCTGGTCTGTTGACTCTCCTTCAGCCTCGGTGCTGCGCTACTCTCTCTCTCTCTCTCTCACACACACACACACACACACACACACACACACACACACACACACACACACACATGCATAACCCAGCCCGCTGTACGTCCTGCAGAAACAGGTAAACAAGAAAGTGTGTGTAGAAGACACACGGGAGGAGAAAAAAAGGCAGACAGCTGCATGTCTGACTGAAGAAAAAATAGTATTTATTTTCTTTACTAGAGAGCCAACTTCATTTTACCTAATTGTTTTCTTATTTTATTTAATTTTTACTTGCTGCATACTTTTTTTGTATACATCTTTGGTTTAGTAAACACCATTGATAGCTTCATCTATTTTTTTTTGTCTTCCTGCAGGAGCCCACAATCTGACTTCTCCACCTTCACAGGCTGAATCCTTACTAGCCATGTTTGATCCTCTCTCCTCTGGTGAAGGTAATTTGCACACTCACCATGTTTCACAATGAAAGCTAGAAATGACTACCATTACGTCCCTGCACTAATGTCATGGTGTCACAGAGCAGCTTGAACCATGCAGAATTAACCAAAAGATTTCCACTGCCCTTTACTCTGACTTGAGGTCATATGACTAGTTAAATGAAATGTCTCGTGTATAGTGTTTTATTCTGCTGCTGCATGTTTTGTTTGTAGCACAGGTAGGTATTTGAGAGGAATGCTAGTGGCTGTTTGTCTATGGCAAGGTGAAGGGATGACAGGCTGAGAGACCTCACCTCAGGCTCTTTGGCACTGTCCCCCTGTCCCACTGTGCACATGGCACAAGGCTGCCATTGGAAGCAGTTCAGGAGAGAGTCTACCCTTGGAACAGGTGGCCTACCTACACCTAGGGCTCATCTCCCACCAACATCTATCTCTCTTTAACTTTCTCCCCCATTCTTTGACGAGGTTGTTTTTTCTGCTGACTGTTGCTTTGTAGGAGTAGGTGGGATGTTTGGATATCAAACAACTGTACTACTTCAATTTAAAGAAAATATTTTTGATTGACGAAAGTCTTTAAAAACAGTTAAAACGTTCTCCGGCAGGAAATAAGCAGTGAGCTGATGAGCATTTTCTCATCCCCTTTTCTTTCTGCTCTTATGACTTTAGGTTCCTCCACTGGGACAATAGTTAGACCCAAAGTGCACTATCCCAGGCCCAACCACCCTCCCCCCGATCCACCCATCCCTGAAGCCAGCGCCCTGGGACCTGAGACACGCCACTCTCTTTTCGCGCCACACAGTTTGGTCCAGGGGGAGCTGGAGCACACAAAGCAGCGCCACTCCTTCCCTGACAGGCTGGTGCGCAGTCGCAGCTCTGAAATTGTGTGCCCTGGGCGCCGGCCCACAAGTGACCCCGGCCTTAACAGACGGGTGGCAGTTGAAGAGCGTGACCCTGCTGGGGCCTTCGCTTTAGGACCTTCCTCATCACCCAGCAAAGACTCCCTGAAAGGAGAGGTAACATGAATTGTGTGTTTGAGTAGAGCAGCTTAGAAACACTTAAGAAAAGTGATTTTAGACTCTGTTTACAGCTTCTGAGGGAAATGCATTATGTCCCCTTTTTTCAAATTCAATTCAGTTCAAATTCAAAAATACTTTATTGATCCCAGAGGAAAATTAGGTGTACCTAATTTCCCTCTGGGATCAATAAAGTATTTTTGAATTTGAATTTAACAAGATGACATCATTTTATGCTTGTTTTGAACTGGTCCAGATTATTGAAACACCATACCTATTAAAAGAGAGCAATGTGACAGCCTGTCTGTTAAATAAATACACCAGCTTCACTTCCACTTTAATTTCTTTATCACTTAATCAAAACCCTGGAAAAAACTGTTGGTCATTTGCTCTGTATTGTTGGGGTTTTCAGAGGCAAATATAAAAATGTTGCTGATAAAGGCAAATGGTACACAGAAACATTTTTTACATCAACTTTTGTTAACACTGCATTAAACGTAAAAAAACCTTTTTTTTCTCTTCAACCGTGGGGGAAAAATAATAATAAGCTCATGTTTACTCAAAGCTCTCCTCATTTCTTCATATTTTTGCTTGAGTGAAGCCAGAGTTTTTTGTAATAATTTAAAGTGGTTTATATTAGTAGTTCTTCAAGACTTCTAAGTCTTTTAAAGTGATAAAAACCTGTTCAGAAAGGTTGTTTGGCCATTCTTTTAAGGGTTATAGTGTGATAGCAAAAATCATTAGTTAAAAATTCTTGTAAAAGGGATAAAATGATGACCATGATGTTTGAGAATCACATTATTGGTGCTAAAGTCTTGATTTTTGTCAGGCAGATTGTGTTGGTGGTTTTTATTTTTTGTTTTGTTTTTTTCTCTGAGGAAAAAAATTGGAACAAATTGTGCCTTGGTGACAGGTTGCTGGTAACAAATAGGTTCAAGATTTTATTTAAAATTTGTTTTTTGCTCAGCTATTTATATGTGCAATAACGACATCAGATTTTGAAAGAAAAAATTTGAGAGGTGATAAAGATGTACTTTAGAAGTGACTGTCTTTCATAATATATTTGAAATACTGACTAAATTAGATTTACCAAACAAAAGTGGCCAAAAAGTTTTATTTATTTATCTCTTTACCATTCTAAAATATTGGGAATAAGTTCATACACCAAAATATGAGCTCTCAGGCACATATTTTAGTTTTCATTTTTAGCAGTCTGTCTCCTTTAAATGGACTTACTGCTTTTGTCTCATTCTAAAACACTTCTTACCTTTTCAAAGGTGGAGGACAGGAAAGACAGTGATGATGAGAAGTCTGATCGCAACAGACCGTGGTGGAAGAAACGTTTTGTGTCAGCCATTCCTAAAGGTAACAAACCAAAAAACATCCTGTTATTTATTAAGCATCCTTTCTCTCAAATGGAAGAAAAATTCTGTTCATTTAAAAGTGATTTCTTTTTGGTAGCACCCTTTGATTTCCTGCCATAGTTGCAAAAAACTTTTTTTAATCACAAGTGACATGAAAAATGATGCTTTAAAGAGCAAAGCAAAGTTGATTTTTATTTCGAGACAGAAAGTGATGATCCATTGCTGACAAAATTCTGTTTGGAAAATAGTTTTCTTGTTGGTAGACATTACTGCAGAGACTTGTCCAGTTCTTTTTCTCCCAGATCGCTCAAGCTGCAGACTTTTCAAAGCTGATCAGTCACTAAAGGAGCTTTAGTTGTGTAGATTATGTGGCTGTAGCCCTCCCAGCAGTGCTGTCAGCAAGCAGCTAATGGTCATTAGATAGACCTCTCTGTCATCAGCACTGATAGATGACACATGTGTTGCTGCTGTTCTACTCTATAACTATCTCTCATACATCTGTCTGGAAAATAATGAGCTGTGCCCACATGGAAGGGCTGCTTATTACTCTTTGAGATGATGATTTTCTTTCTTTAATAAACAACAAAGTGATATTCAGAAAATCGAGAACTGTGTGCACATGAAACGAGAGCGCTTTGAAGCCTAAAGTCAGCCTCTTGCCAAACTCTTAGTGGCATTAGTCGTGTTTATCCTGTTGCTCTGCACGGTGACGCTCAGTCAGTTGCCCTGCAGAGTGGCAGCCTGTGCTCCAAAGGCCAAACCCTGTCTGTTGTGTTCCTCACAGTGCTGTATTGGACGGCTGAGAGTGACGTCCCAGGTAACGCCTCCACGCTATCTTCACCAAGCCTAGCTGTGCTGCTGGAGCCGGCGGCCGCGTGCCACGCTGCTTTGTAGCTGTAGATCTGTGATGTGACATGGTGTAGCCCAAGTCACACAGTCACGCTCCTCATACGTGCATCTGTTTTAACACCCCCTTTGTTTTTCCCCGTATTTTGGTTTTGCTAGTGTCATGCCATCGTTTGCATAAAATGGAATTTTCCGTGTGGAGATAACTCGTTAAGTTTTTCATCTGCTGCCAAAGTATAGACTCATGTTTATTCAGTTAGCGACACTGTTGATTGAATAAACGTTTAGGAATTTTTGCATTTCTTTTTATCTTGAATGTTTTCTAAATCACTGTGGACCTTTGTGAAATTCAGCTGCAAGCCAAAGGTTTCATTCTCAACTATTTTTTTAAATTTTTTTTTTCAAATAACTATACATCAACAGAAATAACTCAACACTAAAGTGGCTGTTCATAGGTGAAACGTTATGAGCCTGTGGTTATTTCAAAGTAAAAGAGGTGTTACTCTGCCCTGGTCAGTCATTGTGTGTCTCTCCTCCACAGCTCCGATCACGGCTTTTAAAAAAAGAGACAAACAAGAGAAAAACGATGCAGCCCAGGAACGTGTCCCACAAGGTCAGTAACGGTTTGTTTAGAAATTCCTTGCTTGCCAAAGACTTTTGCACCGTGATGGGGTTTATGTTTACGTGGCCTTTCTCTGCTGTTTGTCAGATGAGCCATTGCTCCGACAGAACAATCAAGCCCAGGCAGCTGAGGACATCCTGGACAAGTACAGGAACATCAAGAGGCCCGGTCCAAGTGACGTAGCCTCAGCAGGGGCCTCTTATGATGGACCAGGAGGTCAGGGAACAAAACTTGCATGCGCACAAAGGAAATGCTCTTGTATTAGACAAAATATAGAGTTTTCTGTGATCTGTATCCACAGATCTTTGTGTTGAGGACAATGTGAACGACGCCCCGAGAGAAGACACTCTGCACAACATTTCTGCTGACGACCTCCCAGACTCAGCCAGCCAGACGGCACAGCAACATGATTCCAAGTTTTCTTTCAGGTTACATTATCAACACCCTGAAAAAACATTTTTATAATTGCCTAGTGTCGGATTTTTCAAGCAAAGGATGCCATGTCATTGATGGTATTGATAATGTTTATTTTTTCTTTTTTGTCCCCAGTGATGCAAAGAAGAAGCTGAGGTTGGCTTTGTGTTCTGCAGACTCTGTGGCTCTCCCCATCATGGCACCAGCCACCACACGTAATGGGCTGCCTGATCACATGGATCCTGAAGGTATCCTGTGCTACATTCAGATTTGTTTGCTGACCAGTTGTTTTTGAGGAATTAATACAGAAAAAAAAATCACTGGGCTAATTTTGATCTTTGTGTAATGATGTAAAAGTTGTGATAACATGGTAAGAAAAATAATTATTTTAAAATGTGCGTACTGAGCAATACAATTAACACTTTGAGCAAGTTACAAGTTCTCCAGGGGATAGGTATCATTGTCACAGGTCTCCATAGGGACCAGTGTGCAAACCCCTGATGTTGGCAAACATCCACTGGGCTGAAAGTGTCCTCAAACAAAATAGCAATTCTGTACAACCTCCAGCTTCTGACTCACCTTTTAAAAGTTTTGGGCAAGGTTAAAGGGAAAAACCCACGGCTGTGCAATAAACCATAACGCGTGTTGTCACATAAATTAGTATTAACCCAACAATTTATCAAATGGATGCAAGTTCTGCCTCACAAAATAAATCCTGTTGTACTTTTTTCTCAGCCCCACACTCTGATCTAAAATGAGAGCAAAATACAAAATGAATCAAACCTATAAAATACCTTAGATATTTTGATTTAGTATGAACAGCATTTCATGATCGTACCGTTTATTTAATTATTTTTATTTATCGGGATCCCTCTCGGGCCCTTGGGCTCTGGTCTTCCCTATGTCTGCCTCGTGTCTTGGGGATTGGGTCTCGGTCCTCCACAGTCACTATTAAATATTCCATTGGAGAAATCTTGTATATACACACATGTTCACAACTGCTCACAAACAGGTGTTCTGATCTGGGGGGTTCTGACTGGTCACTGACTGTGTATATATGTCTGTGTGTATATATTTACAATATGTATGAATGTAGACATGAATGTAGTGTATGTATATCTTTATATATGTATGGGTATGCGTATATATTTATACATGCCCTCCATGTTTTTATCCATTTATTTTTCAGGTGAGCGGAGAGATGTTGGGTGTGTGGTCCTGTGTTTTGTTGGTGTATATTTAATATACTTCTAATCGCTATTTCAATCTTTCTAATTACTTCTCTCTCTGTTTTTCTCTCTGTCCCTATTTTCTATTCACTTATCAAAAGAAAAAAGTCACTGATG